AAAGTGCTGACTGTGTTTTGGCCGGGATGTGTCACCTGAGCAGCCTGTCATGTAAGGTCAGCTGTGGAGCCTTCTGCTTGCAGCAGCATGTTGGGGCTCAAGAGGTTTCACATTTTCAGATTAGGGATGCTCAGCCTGTATTTGCAACACATCATGGCAAGTGCAGGAGAAGATATGAACCTGTTTGAGGCATAGATCCTCCCTGGAGAAGGCGTCCTTCTGGTAGAGTGAGACATGCTACACCACGAATGGAGAGCCGCGTCTGCATCCATGGGGTGTCCATCTAGAGAGGATTGTAGGAGTTTGTTAGGGGAGCATTTGCGGGAGGAGTCAGACTCTTCTACTTTCTCCAACACTGTTTACCTGGGAGAATCCAGGTTCCTCTGAATTAGCATCTTTGGAATCTACTTTTTTTTTCTTTTGAGAGTCTCTCTCTGCCGCCCAGACTGGGGTGCAGTGGTGCGATCTCGGCTCACTGCAACCTCCACCTCCAAGGTTCAAGCGATTATATGCCTCAGCCTCCTGAGTAGCTGGAATTACAGTCACCTGCCACCATATATGGCTAATTTATATTTTTTATATATATATATTTGTAGTGGAGACGGGGTTTCACCATGTTGGCCACGCTGGTCTCACACTCCTGACCTCAAGTGATTGGCCCTCGTTGGCCTCCCAAAGTGCTGGGATTACAGGCATGAGCCACCGTGCCCAGCCTGGAATCTATACTTTTAAATGTGTTCACTGGGCCATTTTTAAGTAAAGTTTGGGGGCTGCTGTATTAAATTACCAAGACTCCTAAGACAAAAGCACCATTCCTCATCCTGTGCAGGCCAAGACCCTCCTGGCAAGGTGGTCGAGCTGGGAAGGGTGAGGGGGCGGCCCCATTTGTTTCAAGGGTCTGACTTTTCCTGGGAATCCACATCTTCCCAGCCCCACTGCTGTCTCATCCCTGTTCCTAGCTTCTTGGTCTGCGGCCTTTCTTGCCCCGTTGGCCTGGCTTTCATTTCCCTGGATTTTGCTGCTTTGAGGACCAAAATCTGTGCTTTTAGTATTGCTACTTTGCCCTTAAGATCTGACAGTGTTTTTGGGCTTGATCCCCCTCTTGCTAATGCTGGAGGTTGTACAGGGTCCATGGGAAGGAAGAGGGTGCCTCAGACAGATCCCAAAGCTGTTGATCTCAGCTTCTCCGCCACCAGCATGTCTGAAACTGGGTCAGCAAAATCCCCAGGCTGCTACTGCTGCTATGGGGAAGTTGGTGGATGGATGGGTTGGTGAGGTGTGAGAGTGTCTCCAGGAAGTCCCTGGCGACTTGAGTCTCACATTTCAGATTTCATCCTAACAGCGGTGCCCTGCTGCCTCCCCTCCCTACTCCACGCCTCCATGTGGAGCCCTGGCCAGCAACTTTCCATTGCAGGAAACATCTGCTGGGGAGGCCAGGCTCAGCTGGGGGTTACTGGAGGACGTTGGCCGGGACCATCACCCAGATCCTGTAACTTGAAGCATGTATAGGGCCCTGCTCTGCCCGCCCACCCGCTCTGCCTCCCTCCTTCCCTCCCTCTCTGCCACGGGTGACTCTAACAAAGAAGTTGTTTGCTGGTCAGGCGAGCAGAGCAGGGGCTGAGGAAGGGAGTGTGTGTTGGGCTGGAGGTGAGAGCAGGCCCTGTTGCTGCAGCCAGTGGTGGCTGCTCTGCCTGGGTGAGGGCTGTGAGTCATAGCCCAGTGCCCGCCCAGGGTAGAGGTTGATTAAACGTGCCACTCTATGAGACAGACCAGGACTGGGGAGCTGCGCATTTGGTTCCTTTACTGGAGTTTCAGACCAACTATGAGTCACGCTGCTGCATGTGAGTGATTGGCGGGGCTAGACCCTGGACCCGGCTGTGGATCATTGCTGTCCTGCAGAGTCTGCTTGTCTACCCAGGGGCCTGCCTCCCAGACCTCCAGCTGGCCCTGGGCACCTGCTGTGCCATCTGCATCCTCTGGACCCTTGGGTGACTGTCTGCACTGACCAGGGGGAGGTGCATGACCACACCACCTCTGGGTTACTCTCCGCCCGTGGACCAGCCAAGAAGGACAAAGCAGAGCCCGCCATGGGAGACTGGCCAGCCAGCTTGCCCTGAGAACCGCACCGACCACCTCCTCTCACTTGTGAGGCTTCACGCTGGGCACGTAGCTCTAGGAGCAGAAAGGACACCTGTCAGAGTCACACAGGCCCTCTGCCAAGAAACCAGAGGCCACCCATCCACAGTCAAGCCAGGGGAGACCAACGGTTTTCATTGTGTGGGGACAGTCGGGAGTCAGTGCTGAGGGAGCCAGGCGTCGTTGGGAGGGGCAGCCGTGCTGGGCAATGGAATCGCTGACGGAGTCGGGGATCCTCTGGAGTCTCCTGCTGGAGCAGGAGAGCCAGCTGCTGCAGTGGTACCTGAAGCAGCTTGGCCATGCACCTGCTGCCACCGAACACCATTGCTGGCACGGATCTGAGGAAATCCCAGCCGTGAGTGTGTGACCCAGTTTCTCTGAGTCTCTGTGGTAGTTCTGCACCCTTGTCATGCCACTTGGCTCTCCTACCCGAAGGCCCCAGATTTGACAATCTTGGAACCAAAATTATTTGACCATTTTAAATTGAACTAGGTGAGCCAGGTCCCACCTTTGGGGTTGCAGGAGGGAGAGGGCTGGGGTCTCCAGCTTCGAGAGGCTGCGTGGTGGCAGGCCCAGCATGCCCACCTGGTGTGCCTGCCATCCACACAACAGCCCTGTGGAATAGGCATGTGTTGGTTGGATAAAGGAGTCTCCAGACTGATTGACTTAGCAGGCCAGGGCTGGATTCACCCTCCCCTCTCCCTGCTGCTGCTACAGCTTTGTTTTAAGGAAAGTAGGGGCCCCCTGAATTTGCCTGCGGGTTGGAGACTGTGGTCAAATGCCCTGTACCTCCACTTCTGTGGATACCTCAGCTGTCACTGGATATACGAGAATCAAGGGGGAGAAGGCACCAGGACAGAAAATTAGAAATAGGAAGACTTGGGGCTTCCAGTTTCACCTGAAGTGTGTTCGGGGTCTCCTGGTCGGCTGCTCCTCAGGCTGACACTGGAACTTTGTAAATACGAAGACCCAGTAGAGGGCTTGGAAGGCTAGTGGGGGCCCCAAAGCAGGTGAACATCTCATTCTCAAGGGAGTGCGCTCTTTTGGGGAAGCCGTTCTGCTTCCTCTTGGCAGGGGGACCAGGAGCAGGTACCCTCCAGAGGCAGCACAGAGCGGGGTCTCAGACAGCACTGAGTCAGACTGCCTCGCTCGTATTCCACTCCCAAGTTGCTTAACTTTACTGTTTCTCAATTTCCTCAAGTGCAAAATGGGAGAATAAAAATAATCTGGGGTCTGATGCAATGACCCACGCACAGGGCTTATGGCTGTGCTTGGCACGTGATAATAACTCCATGTGAGCTGCACAGCAGCTCGAGAAGGTCAGTTAGGCGTAATGAGAACTCACTGGTGATCAGGTGGTCACGCTGGGGTTTTCAGTGTGTGAACTCTGTTCTAAGAGGCAAGGGGGCCATCTAGATTCCATATCTCAGTACCAGTTTGAAACTAATCCATGGGCCAGAGGAATGTTGTTTTCTAAGGTTTTGTTTTGTTTTGTAGCCATAGGCTACACCCTAGGCTGAGGGTCAGCAGCGCTCTCTCTGAGTAGGTGGTCAGCGCATCACAGGTGGAGTGCGGGTGTCTCCCTGTGACTGTGCGTGGCTTGTCCCGGGTTGTGCACTTGCTTTCATCTGTCATCTCTGGTGCCTCCTCTATGGGCACATATTTTCTTTTTAGTTTCTTTTTTATTCTTTATTTTTTAAATGTAAGATTGTAAGCCCTCGGGTCGGGTGCGGTGGCTCACTCCTGTAATCCCAGCACTTTGGGAGGCTGAGGTGGGTGGATCACTTGAGGTCAGGAGTTTGAGACCAGCCTGGCCAATATGTTGAAACCCTGTCTCTAGTAAAAATACAAAAATTAGCCAGACGAGGTGGTGCATACCTGTAGTCGCAGCTACTTAGGAGACTGAGGCAGGAGAATGGCTTGAACCCAGGAGGCAGAGGTTGCAGTGAGCCAAGATCATACCACTGCACTCCAGCCTGGGTGACAGAGCGAGACTGTCTAAACAAACCAATAAACAAACAAACAAGATTGTAAGCCCTCAAAGGGCAGGATTTCTGTGTATTCTGCTGGCTCATGGGATTTCCAAGGAGGATTTGCTAAGGCAGTTTCTAGGCATGAGCCTCTTCGAGGCAGCCGTGTTGCTGGGAGGGAGGTGAGCACAGGACCGGGGGTCATGAGATCTGACACTGACCAGCTGAGGAGCTGGGGCAGGGGGCTTCTCTCTGGCCCTGGTCTCTTCCTCAATGCTGTAAGGACTGGATTAGATGATGTAAGGATGGAGAGGGGAATTGGATGCCTCTCCTGTGCCAGTTGTGTTTTTAGTTCTCTACCTGTGTGCTTATTGCAGTACTGGTTTTATGTTTTATGTGATTTCTTAGAAAATCGTGTCTTTTCCACACAGCCAAGTGCTCACTCTGATAGTCATGACAGCACCTTCTTCTGAGAGGTGCTCTGGGCAACATCATGGGGGGCTGGGCAGCCTTCTTGGGTCCCTGCTTCACTGTCAAGGTGGTGTTGGCAGAAGGCAGAACAGCAGTAGCTGGCATGGTGGATCCCAGGAAGCACCCTGGAGGTGTCCCTCCTTCCTTTCTCTTATCGGGATATAATGAGAGCCCCTCCTTGCTGTGTCTGGCATTTTCTCATTAGTGGAGGCCCTGGCTGCAAAGTGTTTCCCAGCACCAGATTCTCCCCACTGTGTTTCTCCACGCCGAGCCCCATTCCTCAGCCTGGCCTCTAGGGTCTGTAGGAGGGCAGAGCCTCATCTTTGCTTTTTAAACACACAAGCAAGTGCTCCTCCTCTTGCCCTTCCTTGCTAACCCCACAGAACCGGGGTGCATGTGCTAACCTTGGCCATTGTCACGCAGGTGTTAAGCCCCACCTACAAGCAGAGAAATGAAGACTTCAGAAAGCTCTTTAAGCAGCTTCCAGACACGGAGCGCCTCATTGTTGGTGAGTTGGGTGACCTGGGAGGGGATGGGGAGGAAGTCTGGGGAGCCCCCGGCGTAGCACTCAGGGTGCTTCTGTCTAGAGCCCTCAAGCCAACCCAAGTAAGCAAGGGAACAGGGAGAGAGGCTGTCCAGAGCCCTGGACCCAGCTGTCAGGGCTCGAGGCTGAGTACCAGGCTTGTGGCAGCCTCAAGAGCCCAACCTGGAGTGAGTCACTGGCACTTTTATCTCTGCAGATGGCCCGGTGGCAGAAGGGGTTAGCATAGTTGTGGATGGGGGAGGGAAGTTAGTTGAATTTTGTTGATCTTTCCCACCTCTAGCTTCCTTGGCCCACTTTGCCATCACATTTATTTATCTGCCTCTAGGCAGTTGCACGTCACGCCACCTTTATGCTCCTCGTCATGAGATGGTAGGGACTTCCTTGGCTGCTAGTTCAAGTGCCTGGCACCCCTTGTCCGTGGTGGGCGTTGGGCTCCCCCAGTGTTCGTGGGAGGGATGACATGCCTACTCTGCAGTGGTTTGCTGAAAATGCTTCCTGCCTCTGAGCTCCCCTATCTCCACTCCTACCGCAGATTACTCATGTGCACTCCAAAGAGACATTCTCCTTCAGGGCCGACTCTACCTCTCTGAAAATTGGATCTGCTTCTACAGCAACATCTTCCGCTGGGAAACTCTGGTAAAGACCTGGGGCATGCTCCCCTGAGCCGTCTCCTTGGCTGTGGCTAAGCAAGCTGCCCTCGCTTTCTTCCTTTTGCTGACTTCATGCTCTTCCCAAGCCTTTGCGTAATTAACAAAATCATGCCTGAGTCTTGAAAGATACTCAATTCTAAGTCCCAATAATAAGGTCTCCTCTGCCATGTTTTCCCCTTCCTCTCTCCCCTTTGGGTGTGGAAGAGAGGACTGGGAGCATTTGCTTTTGTCAAATGCAGGCAAATATTTGGCATGAGTGACTGCAGGAGGAGGTATAGTCAAGTAGAAAGGGCTTTGGCCTTGGGACTCTGAAGAACCGGCTTGCACAATTTCTCGGTTCTGCAACCAATTAGCAGCGTGATTTTAGGCTAGTCCTTTCTTTGCCTCTGTTTCCTCATCCCATACACTAAGGAAGAGAAAGATTAACTAGATATTTTTTTGTTTGTTTGTTTGTTTTAGACACAGTTTCACTCTTGTTGCCCAGGCTGGAGTGCAATGGCGGGATCTTGGCTCCCCGCAACCTCTATCCCCCAGCCCCTGAGTTCAAGCAATTCTCCTGCCTCAGCCTCCTGAGTAGGTGGGATTACAGGCATGCGCCACTACACCCAGCTAATTTTGTATTTTTTAAGTGGAGACGGGGTTTCTCCATGTTGATCAGGCTGGTCTTGAACTCCTGACCTCAGGTGATCCACCCGCCTCAGCCTCCCAAAGTGCTGGGTGTACAGACATGAGCCACCATGCGTGACCTAACTAGATGATTTTTTATGGTCACATCCTGCACCAGTATTCTGTGTTTCTGTAAGTGGCAAATAATGGCAGGACCTCTGCACATTTAGCAGACTATGGAGAAATTAGAAAGCTCCTTGCCCAAGAATCAAGATACTCATGGCTGTAGACAAGGCTCAGTCCCCACTTTGCTGTCTGCCCACTGTGAAATAAAGGGGTAAACCAGATGATCACCAATGTGGCCTGTTTCAGGGTTATAAATATGTAATCTGACTGTCCCTGTCCACACTGGCGCCCCCTGAACACCGTTTACCTGACTTACTAATGCCCCCCTTTGCTTGTTACCCATTCTCTGTCCTCTTGGATGCCAGCTGACAGTCCGTTTGAAAGACATCTGTTCCATGACTAAAGAAAAAACAGCTCGCCTCATTCCCAATGCCATCCAAGTTTGCACTGATTCAGAAAAGGTAAGTGGAGTCTTACTCTGGCCTTTCTAATCCTCCCTTATACCCCCTACTCTTGTATTTCTGCCCTTTCTTGAATTGCATGAATATGGAGGCCAATAGGATTGGGATGAGAGGTGGTGGTGCTAAGGGTGGTGCAGATTCCAGGAACCACCTCCTGGATGGAGAGGCTGGGGGAGGCTGAGCAGGGGGAGGATGGAGTGGCCAGACATTGGACCTGGAGTCAGAATACCTGAATTTGAGTCCCTCGACTGTTAGCGTGTTGTGTAGTATGTTTGAGCCTAAGTTTTTTCACCTGCAAAATGGAGCCAGCAATACCTATTTAACACAGTCTTGAAATAATATCACATATCCGAAAACACTAAATTGTGAAGCAGTATGCAAATGTTCAGTAGTCGTCATTATGTATGAGCTTAGCTGATTGTCTCTGGAGAGGATGGGGCATCAGGTAGAAAATGGATTGTCCTTATCAGTATGGGGAGAATATGTCAGCTAAAATTCAGGACAGAGCAAACTTTTCACTAGAGCCTGAAGATGAAGAGGTCCAAGGCTAGGGGTAGACTGGGTTTCTGCTGAAGGCCGAGTTTACAGTTTGGACTCAGGCAGTTTGGTGGCAAGAGCCAGGAGACTTTGGGGTCAGATAGTGTTTGGTTTGACCTATATTTGTTTGTTTGGTTTTTAAAGTAGATTTATTAAAAAACAATTGAAGGCCTGAGTGTTGAGAAGCAAATGGGCCCTCTGGGGGTCCTGTCCTGCAGCAGGCCTGACTTTCAGATGACGGTGCTTATAAGGCAGATCAGGGCCTTCCTGGGCTGCCCTAGTTCTTTCCATTTCAGACGCTAGGTTTGGATCCTGGGGCAGCTGCTCAACTCTACCCAACTCTACCATGGCTACCTGGGCTTGGAGAATATGTGAACATTAGCTACTTTTACAGTCAAATAGGGATCTTGTAGAAGAAACAAATAGGCAGACCTATCAAAGTCTCTCATTCTGACCCAGCAAGCAGGTGAAGTGACTGTTGGTCCTAGTTCCATTGTATGTTGGGCTGCAGGCCAATTCCAAATAGCCCAACTCCTTTTTTTTTGAGATGGGGTCTCACTGTATCGCCTAGGCTGGTCTCAAACTCCTAGGCTCAAAGATCCTCTAGCCTCAGCCTCCTGAGTAGCTGGGACTACAGTGCATGCCACCATGCCTTTTTTCTCTTTTTTCTTTTCTTTTTTTTTAACGAGACAGGCTGTCACTATGTTACCTAGGCTGGTCTCAAGCAACCCTCCTGCCTCAGCCTCCCAAGTAGCTGGGACTACAGGCACAAGCCACTGCACCCAGCTCCAACTCCTTTCTTTATGCAAATACAGAAGGCAAACCTTGGTGCCACATTTAGTCCTTCGTAGCAGTCCTGGCTCATCCTCCTAGTCTTTCCCTAGTGTTTGCATCAATGGCTAACTAAGCTGATGGCAGACCTCATCCTGGGGTAATACTCATTCAGGGAAGTAGCAATGAAGGAGGGTGGGGAAAGAGCTCAGGTCAGATTTACATAACATGATGTGTAGCATAACAGGTGCCCATTACATCTCAGCTACTTCTAAAGTTGATCAGAAAGAGGTATGGAGGCATTAAGACCTGAAGCACTGAGTTGGTCCATAACCCTGGGCTTCAGAACAAGGTCTGGTTTTATTTTCTGGCAGAATCTTTTTAAATATAAAACAGATAAAACACATCTCAAACCTGCAATCTGCCAGCATGCTTTGTTTCTATAAGATGCATGCTAGACCATGAAACTACATAGCAAAAGGTCTTTAAGAGGATTTGGTTGGGAGAAATAGAACAAGCAGATCTCAGGGAAGCCTGGGCTAGTCCTAAAGCTGAGCTACATCCCTGAACACTAGAGGAGTCCTTGTCTTTTCAGGTCCTCATATGTCTTTTTATTCCCAACATTCCCACTTGAGTCTTCATATTCTTCCTCAGCGTCAGGCTGCCATCGTTCTGACGCCTTCTGCAGTTTCCGTTTGGCCCACAGGGAGGCAGCCTCTTCAATCTGTGTCACCTTAGCAAAGTGAGCAGTGTTCGGGATGCCCAAACACCTCATACCATGAGCCTGACGCCATTCAGCAAAGGGCCGCTGGAAGCTTTGGGTCCTCGGCAGGTGTAGTTTCCACAGTTCTCACAGTCGTAGTTGATACTTAGGCCATGAAGCTTATATGGCCAGTAGGGAATGGGTTTGCCATCCCAGCCAAGTGGCAGGTTTTTTGGGTTTGTAAATGATCTCGTTCTCTTCATCTTCACTCTCACTCTCGCTGATTTGCTCTTCTTCCTCCTCTTCTCGCTCTTCTCCTGTCCTTTCTTGCTTGCATTGTACATTTTCATGAGTGGGATGTCGCTGTTCCCCGAGAATCTCTACGTATTCATAGATCTTTGTAGATCTGGGCTTCTAGAAAAGCAATGTCTTTGTTTCTCTCAGTGTCTCACTTGGTGCCCTTTGACTTGGGATTTTTGGCAAACAAAGAGTTTTCAAGTGACTCCAGGGACTTTCCTTTGGTGCTGAATAGTCTCTGGGCTCACTCTTCTGGGGTCCTGCCACATTTCAGTCCTAAATCTTAGAGAGAGCAGATTTCAATCTGTCCACAGCCAGAGAGGGCAAGTCCTCCCAGGAGGAGAGTGCAGAGAGGTCAAGATGGGCTCCAGCGTGCGTCCGGGCACTGCTTGTCTCTTTCGGCCATCCAGGAAAGATCCCATTCTCCCATTTCTTCTCAAATTCAGCCTGAATCTTCCCAGAAAGTTCACTCTGATCTTGGAGAGGCTTCACTCTGTGTAATCCTGAAGGTACTCAAGCAGCATCTCTAGGTATCTCTTAACGCTCTGCATTCTTCCTGTCTTTAGGAATGTCAAATAATTGGTCTAAGATGGATAGGTGTGTGATATAATCCAGCTTCTCAGATGCCTTCAGGTTAATGTACTTGAGGTAACAGTCATGGAGATCGAGGTAATGACCATATCCCTCTTCATCTGTGAACTCCACCTAGTTTTGTGCCTCTTCACTTGGATTCTCTCAAGCCTTCAGGAGCTCCTCAGATTCCACTGACATTGGCACATAGATCTCATTCGGGTGCTTCTGGTGGAATTCCTTTATTTGCTTGAGTCTGTTATAGAAATCAGCAAACTCACTGGGTCCTGAAATGTCATTGAGCTCCTCCTTTCGTAATCCATCCTTATCATACAAATCCCTCAGGTTCCCACTGACCTCCGTATACCTATCTTGCATGGCCTGAGTGCAGTGATCAGAATTGATCTGGTCCCAGAGCATGAACTTCTTAGTGAGCATCTCTTTGGCCATGATGTCCATGAGCCATTCCTTCTCCTCACGATAGCGCCGCTGCTGCTCCAGTATTGTCTCCCATCTTCCCTTCACCATGGCCTCTCATTGTCTTTTGAGGCACAGTCTCGCTCTGTCACCCAGGCTGGAGTGCAGTAGCGCTATCTTGGCTCACTACAACCTCCGCCTTCTGGGTTCAAGCGATTCTTGTGCCTCAGCCTCCTGAATAGCTGGGATTACAGGCGCCCGCCACCACACTTGACTAATTTTTGTATTTTAAGTAGAGGCCGGGTTTCACCATGTTGGCCAGGCTGATCTGGAACTCCTGACCTCAGGTGATCCATCCACCTCAGCCTCCCAAAGTGCTGGGATTACAGGCGTGAGCCACAGTGCCCTGCCCGGTTCAACCTATGTTTTGGACACTAACCAGCTTCTTGATTATACAAGTTGCCTAACCTCCACCAGCCTGTTACCCTTTATTAGTTGTTAGCTTTGTTTATTATCTAAGCCTTTTTGTGTGGTTTAAATGAAATAGCATTTGCGGACCACCTTGTGGTTGGTCAGTGAAATCTTCATTACTTTCTTTCTGTCTGTTTAATGGGTAAACTCCACAAGGGCGGGATCTTTCTGTGTTGTTTCTTGTCCCTCACACACGTAGATTAGTGCGTAACACATACTAATATTCAAATATTGGTTGAATGAATGAAATAGGTCAGCGGATCAGCAGGTTGTGGGTTTGTCTTGTCCTTCCATTTAGGCTAGTTCATAGCTCACCGCTTACCCGGTTCCAGTAGGTAGGTGAGGGACATTTCTTATGGAGATGAGAATTTCAAAACAGGGAGAAAAGCACTGAGGAAAGTGTGGGTAAGAATGGAAGGACTTTGTCACACTGGGAACTTAATAGTACCAGGTACCCAGGCCTCTGCTGTGCTGACCCCATCTCTGAAGCAGATGTGCGTGATCACAGGTAACTGAGAGTCATTAGTGTTTGAGGATGAAGTCAGTATCTTTTCTTAAGGGAAGGAGGACCATGTCTCTCTTAATTATATTGTAATTCAACAGATATTGTTATTTTCTTTTCCAATCTAGCACTTCTTCACTTCGTTTGGGGCCCGGGATAGGACGTATATGATGATGTTCCGGCTCTGGCAAAATGCTCTCCTTGAAAAGGTAAGTACTGCCGAGTTTTCTTTTACTGCGGGACTGGCTACCTCTAGAGAAGCCCGTGTCTCCTCAGGGTTCTGGGAATCCCCCACTGATAGTATTCTCCTACTGATAGTGTTGACCTGAGTCCTGAAAGTCGCATGTCATCTCCCATGAATGGCCTCAACACCTCCAGGAGTAAGGCACTCATTATCTTCAGGCACTTCAGTTCCACTGCTTTGAAGTGTCCCAGGATTTTCTCTAATCAGTTATGGTAATGCACGCAGCCATGAAGAAAGAAGTCCTTAAATTCACAGACCCCCAGAAATAGGAGGCACAGCAGGATGAGGGCCACCAGGGAAGGCCCAGGGTTGGTCAGGAGATAGAACGGGAAAGGGGAAGAAGTGGGCAGAGCCTTTAGTGTAGTTTTGCAGGAAGGAGCCAGGGAGGCAGGGCAAGCAGGCCAAGCAGGTCTAGGATTGGCTAGTTTGAATTATTTCAGCAGGCTGCAGGTACCTCAAGTTGCCTGGAAGCTCGGACGCTATAATAGATAATGGGGAGGGTGGGAATATGAGCCTTGGATGGGCTGGCTGCGTGTGAAAGGCCCACTCCTGGATGAGTTATTTCCTCTCTCTAGGAGTTAGCTAACCCTGATGGGTCCCTCCCCAGTCAGCAAGGCCCCAGCTGCCACAACATGAAGTACAAAAAATGTAGTTACCACAGCCACCACGAATTGACTAGTTGAGTGTTTAAATGAAACTATGAAGAGACACAGTAGAAGGCACCCCTTCATGCAGTGAGCTGTGATTGCGCCACTGCATTCCAGCCTGGATCACAGAGCAAGACCTGTTTCAATTAAAAAAAAAAAAAGGTCCCACTCAGATGCAGCTGGATGTTGAGAAACTGTCTCCAAGCCAGAGAAAGAAATATAGGAGAAAATGCACACACACACACACACATGCACACATATAATGTTTCCCCCCGGGATTAATTTTTATGTGTGTGTATTTATGTGTGTGTGTGTGTGTGTATATGTGTGTGTGTGTGTATATATATATATGACATGTGTGTATATAAATATATACATATATTGGCCTTGATTCTGGCCCAAGCAAAAGGCTGCGTAAGAAAATTGCGTGGATTTATTATTTGGAGTTTCTTCTATTCTGAGAGTCTGTACCCCTAGTATCACTCCTGATAACTTATTTGAGCTGCGGTCCTCTGCCTTCACTCGCCATCAGTAATGGTAAAATGACCATGTGTTTTAGTCTCCACTGGCAGGTTTGAGTTTTCGGCTCACAGCTGCTGTCATTTTTAAATAAGACACGGGGTCATTCCTATGCTTCGCAAATGCCCTCACAAATAATTGTAGGACTTGGGCCTGCTGAAGAGGGTCTGCTAACTGTGCTTGTCCTGATCGTGGTTGGCCAAGGCAAGCCGGGTGGCATTGGTCAGGGAAGGCTGCAGAGAGCAGGCAAAGGGTGGAGCAGGGCAGGACATGGTTTGGCAGAGAGGCAGACGTGTCCCAGGCAGGGTGAATGTTGTCCCAGGCAGGGTGAATGTTGTGCATGAAGGTCAGAGATAGGAGGGGGAAGTCCAGGAGAGAAGGAGGTGATACCTCCCTCAGGCACTATGAGGGCCAGCGTAGAGAGCTGCCACCCCCAACCCCACCGGCCTAGAGGCAGGCCCCAATTCTGCCATTCCAAGCACTTTAGTCAGAAAGCTGGAATCCTAGCTCAATATACTCTGCCACCTGCCTGCTTCTTAAACCATACCTGAAACCATGGGCTTGGGAGCTCTCAAATTCTTTAGGAAGTCTATTGGTGCAAATGTTTTTGAAATGGGATTTTTTTTTTTTTTAAGATAATGATTGCTTCTGTTTTTCTTCATGCCCTTGCCCTCTCTTCCACACACTTATCCCTGCCACCTTCTCCCCTTCCTCCCAGTCTGAGACTCATTCATGGTCTCTGCCTCTGATCTTAGTTCTTTGACATCCCGTTGCTTCTCTTTGGAGACTCTGAACCCAATGAGAACAAACTTTTCTTAGGGCAGTGTTTTTTGGGAGGACACATAGGCACCCAGTGAAATAAGAAAACACTGGAACTAACGCTTAGAACTGCAGGCAAACAGATTCCACCTCAGGTTGGGTGTCACGAGGTTAGGTGAGATGACCTGTAAGGTTCTTAAAACTGTGGGAACGTAAGACTCTACCCAAAGGAACTGTCCAGCTATGGAATGGGCCACCTTTGAGGTTGAACCTCATTCTTGGAAGTGATCCAGAAGGGTCTGTAAGGCCACAGTTAATATAAGAGGAGATTTCTGTGCAGTGTGGTGGGACACTGGGTCAGTGGACCTCTGGGCATTCATTCAGAGTGCTAATCAGAAGCTCTGGGATCGCCTTGGCCCCAGAGTCACATGGGTTTATGCCACTCGGTGCTGGACCTTTTCCATAAGAGCAAAAGGTGAGACAGTTACCATCCTCTGGGAGCCAGTTGGTCACGTTCTACAAACCTCTGTTGAGGGATCGGGCACCGAAAGGCCAGTTCCTGGTTTTGTTGAAGTCCGCATTCCTAGGCAGCAGACTGGTGTCCTGCTGAGACCCCCAAGGCAGACGGGGGTGGTTGCTGGCCTCTCTTTCAGCTAAGGAGAGAGGAGTTTCTCCTCCTCTCCAGGGGAACCAGCCAGGCTCAGTGCCTCTGTGCAGAGTGGGGGACCTGAGGAGGAAGGCTCAGTCGTTCCTTTTCTCCCCTTAAGCCTCTGTGTCCCAAGGAGCTCTGGCACTTTGTTCACCAGTGCTATGGGAACGAACTGGGCCTGACCAGTGATGACGAGGACTACGTGCCCCCTGATGACGACTTCAACACAATGGGGTGAGTGAGGCCGAGGGTGGCTGCCCAGAGCAGCCATGCAAATGCCTGCAGGAAGAACCTGCCAGGCAGAGGGAACAGCACGCATGCCTGTGCAGCCCTGGAAGGAACCACGGAATGAACGAGGGAAAGTGGTCACAGGTCAGGGAGCTCGAGGGGGCAGAGCCCAAGGGCCTGGCCAACTTTATGGTTGGCTTTTACTAAAAGTGGGATGGGAAAGTTTGGCCTAGGTAATTGCTAAGTTCTGATTTAACATTCCAGCAGGATCACTCTGGCCTCTGCACTGAGAATACATTGAAGGGGAACCAGGGCAGAGGCAGGGAAACCCGTTAAGAGGCCGTTGAGTAATTTAGGTAGTTAAATGAGGGATGGTGGTGGTTTGGAGGAGAAATGGCAATAAGTGTTTAGTTCCTGAATAGATTTTGAAAGATATGTTGATGGAACAGAAAAGAACCAAAGGTGGCTTTTAGACTTTTTTGGTTTTACTGCCTAGAAGGATGGCTTTGTTCCAGACGGAGATGGACAGTATTGTAGGCAGAGCAGGTTTCAGGGGGAAGATCAGGAGGGCAGTTTTAGGCAAGTTGAGATTGAGATGCCTGTTAGCAATGGAGATGTCAAGTGGGCATTTAGGTATGGAGTGTGAAGGTCATAGGGAAGCCTGGGCTGAGGCCATAAATGCAGCAATTATTGGTGGATAGTCATGAGATTAGCTGAAATTTCAAGTGACTCGGTGAACATAAAAAGAAGTTCAAGGACTGCCTGGGAGCACTCAACGAGGGGAAGAAGCAGCTGAAGAGAGCTTGAAAGCACATGCAGGCCCTAGGAAGGTTTCCTGTCCTGGGAGCCAAGGGAAGGAAGTGAAGCAGAAGGTGTTGTCACTGTCAATGCTGTCGATAGGTTAAGGAAGATGGGAAGATGTGCCCGTAGACTGGCACAAAGCATGCTTGAGAGTGGAAGGGTAGCTAGCTGCAGGCTTGGTGGTGGTGCCAGAGGCATACAGGGAAAAAAGCAAGAAAAGAGCATTGAATGTCTATTGTGCTTAGGTCTGGGCTCAGTCGAAATAATAGTCTTGTCGCTTAACCTCTATGAATACCTATTTGGTTATCTCTAAAATGCATATAATGATTGCCAGAGAGTTGTCAAGCATCTGGATTTGTTAAGTACAGGTCAGATGAGGATGATGGTGATAGGGTGATGATTGCTCTCTTAGAGGAGGCAACGGCAGCATCCCTGAAGTGTTCCTAGACGGGCACCCACCTTCATCTCAAGGAGGTTTTCTTTCTAGGTGTGTAATGCAGGGAAGTTTTCTAGTTATCATCCAGAATTTGGCAATGCCACTGAAGGAGTGCTCGTGTCCAGAGTCCTGTCTTAGTCACTGTTTGGGAAATGGAATGCATGCTCAGAACCCAGGTATTGGATTCAGAGGCTTAAAATGGAATGGGCACCCACGGGAAAAAATAGCTTAAGACAAATAATCCTTTCATTGAGGTAGGGATAACTCTAAGGAGGCTGCCTAGAAAAGGTGAGTTCGCAGCCAGAAATTTTACATGGGGGGCAGGGAAGGGTGGGGTGGGATGTGAAGGAGATTTCAGGAGAGCAGTGGGGTAAGCGGGGGATTTTTGGTTAGAGGAAGATCATATACAAAGTGAAGAAGCAGGAAATCTCATAGATTTGGATGAATTGAAAGGTCTGAGATTCTTAGAATAGTTGGCCGTCTTGAACCACTGAGGTTAACGTGGACTCACTGGTGTCTTCTCTCAGATACTGTGAAGAGATCCCTGTGGAAGAGAATGAAGTGAATGACAGCTCATCCAAGAGCAGCATAGAGACCAAGCCAGATGCCAGTCCACAGCTGCCCAAGAAATCCATCACCAACAGCACACTGACATCCACAGGGAGCAGTGAGGCCCCCGTCTCGGTATGGGCAGTCAGCCTTTGGCTTCTACCCCCAGTCCTGTGGCCAGCATTTCCTAGCATAGTTCACTGGGAACCCATAATGGGGAGCAGGTAGAGAGGAGATTGGTTACATTGTGGTCAGTTTCCTCAAGGAGGCATTCTGGAGCAGATGGGCTCTCTGTATTCTAGTGGCGTAGCCCGGGGTCCAGAGCTGGGGCTGGGTGCCTGGGGTACAAGATCGGGTTTGACTTCTGAGCAGATGAAAACCATTTCAAGTCTGCTGTGTGGGCTTTGCTTTTGCTGGACTGCTGCTGATCAGCCCTTCTGGTAGAGAACAATCCCAGGTGTTTTTTCACTGCCTTGATCTGACGTCAAAGTCATGCATGAATATAGAACTATAGAACAATTAATTGTTTATCCACTCATTTGGTTGATATTTATTGAGTATATGTATTGTGGCTTATTTCTCCACTGTGGTAGACTTTGTGGAAGCCATAAAAATGTGTAAGAGGACCTCTGTCCTCTGGGACTCTGTTATAGAGGAGGTAGAACCTTGTTGAGGAAAGAGGGTCAGGGCGTGTGCTGGCAGGCAGAAGAACAGGTAGGGTTCTTCAGGAAAGGACTCCCTCCAAAGGGAACCTTGTATTTCAGTAGGCTGTGAGTCAGACCACCTGCCCTTAGAATGAAAACGTTATTCATTGGATGCCTGGTCTTTATTTTCCATCTCTGAGGTTATCTTTAAAATGTAAAGAGTTGTATCGATTCCCTTCCAGGGCTAAGGAGAGAATGAGTTTTAAAAAATGCTTATGAAGCCTTTCGAGCTTCTTAGGATAAACAGGTACCACCTGGAGGCAGGCTGCCCCTGTTGCAGGATGGTGCAGGTGCGGCTGCAGGAAGGGGCCTGGCCCTGTGGGGACCAGCTTGTTGTGCTGTTGGAATGGCGAGCGTGAGAAATGCAGTCAGTAGTCCTTGTACGGTGTTTGCCCATCCTCTGTGGCAGCTCGGGGGAAGGGCCTTGGAGCCTGACTCTGACTTCGCTCCTGAGCAGCTGAGCTGGGAGTATGAGAGCTGCCAAGGCCGGATCCCTAATCTCCTTTTGGAGAGTAGATCCAGACCAGGTTTCCCTGGTGGGTGACTCCTCTGTCTTGTCTGCAGTTTGATGGGCTGCCCCTGGAGGAGGAGGCGCTGGAGGGAGACGGGTCCCTGGAGAAGGAGCTCGCCATTGACAACATCATGGGGGAGAAGATTGAGATGATCGCTCCTGTGAACTCCCCTTCACTGGACTTCAATGACAATGAGGACATCCCCACTGAGCTCAGTGACTCTTCCGACACACACGATGAAGGTGGGCATTTGAAAACGGGTCTGGAGTGGCCCTTTCTCTATTTTGAAGGCTAAAAGGAAATCTCTATGTGGGGACTGGAGTTACTCTCTAGGCTCCTGGTGGAAAGATGGGAGCAGAGCTTCCTTAACAAAAGGTACCTGTGTTATTAGTCTACATCCCTGTTTTCAGTTATTTGCTGTAGGAGCGTCTCATAGATAATGCTTTGTTCTGTCATTTAGTCTTGTCACTAAATTTACCCCCTGTTGACATTGGCTTGCCTTGTGGCCCCTACCCTCAAAGACATGCAAGGCTAGGCAATGTGTATAAGCCACAAGGAAGGCGCCAGTCAGCTGCTCCCTGGAAATAATTAGATTTTCACAGAAACAGCCTCAAGATAGTTGCAAAACTTGTTAATGCAAGTTTTGTAGCGTGGGATGTTTAGGCCCAGCTAGAAGAAAAGGTATTGCTGAGTCAAATAGAGTTTGGAGACTCCCTTGTTTCTCTAGTTTTTGTAAGCAGGTAGCTTCTAACTTCATGCCTGCATAGGATTAGCTTCTAGGTCCTCCCTTGGGAGCATGCTGCTTCTTACCTTCCATGGAGAGAAGCCAAATTCTCAGCGTTCAAGAAATCAATTGATGGATTTCCTCCATTGAATGAGAGGTCTGTTATGACTAGTGAGCGTATGAACACAGTGCTCCCTTGTGAATCTGTGGACACCTCTCCTAGGGGCCACCTGCAGTGGTTTTCTAACCTTTGGTTGGTTTACCCACCCCCATGTAGAGTCCAGGGTCAGCACAAATGACTGCATGGGTTGGGTACTGCCTAGTTCCGGGGTGCCGTTCGCATAAACAACGGTGTGAATACCGCCTGTACTGCGCTTGTGCAGTACCCATCTGTGCAGTCATAGGACTTGACCCTACAGGGTACTTCAGAGTTCTCTGGTTTCCTCAGGGTCCTAGGGGTGCCAGAAAGGTCAGCCTCCTCCTGAGATCACATACCCACCCACGCAGGTGCAGTAATTAGGGACTGAGGGGTGCCAAGGGCTCGGGTGGAGCACTGAGGCTTTAGCAGCTCACCTGTATCCTCAGATGCATTCTCCTGTAGCAGCTGGAAAATTCAGATTACAGGTGAAATTCCCTGGCTGGTGATCTTCTGTATATGGACCATTGATGTGCCGGGAGGGCTCTGCATCCCTGAGACTGAAGGAAGCTCCACTTTTGGAGCCCTCCCACACCTTGCTCTGTGTGCCTCTCATTCTGGTTTGAATTCTTATTTTGCTGTATGATGAAGCTGTAATCCTAAGTTTAAAAGGGGGAGTAGGTTTTGACTTCATGGTAGAAATAGGCTGCCTTACAGAAGTGTAGTTAGGGGTCATAGCTTATTGGGCCAGCCCCAGCCTTAGCAGCAGTTCTGTACACTGATACTTCCAGATTAGTCTACGTTCCCTCAAACACACCTATGCCATGGGTTACAACTACAATTTGTTGTTGATTGGAGTTGACTTACAGACTCTCAAAACCCCATTCTTTGGGTTTAGGCAACTTCAAGAAGTAGTCATTTGAATTTTAGTCTAAGATCAACTGAATTAGGGAGGTTTGAAAGTGTAAAAGCAAATCGTACATTCCCAAACACCTTGTAGAGAAGGAATGGGCAGAGCGTCAACTAAAGGAAATGGTGTGCATCCCAGCAAAGGAAAGAGACTGAAAGCAAAGTCTTAAACCGTGCCCATGAGCTCAGCTATCCTGCTCCGTAGTCTCTCCATACCCTTGGTGGCTGTGCCCATGTTAGCCAGAGACATAAGTTGGAGGATGTCCCTGGGGCCCCCTGCCCCTCCGCTGTCACTGTCTACTTCCTGATCCTCTCTTCTGTGCAGGGGAGGTCCAGGCCTTCTATGAGGACCTGAGTGGCCGGCAGTACGTGAATGAAGTCTTCAACTTCAGCGTGGACAAGCTCTATGACCTTCTCTTCACCAACTCACCCTTCCAGCGGGACTTCATGGAGCAGCGGCGCTTCTCTGGTCCGTTCTGCTGGGACTGTACCCCCCATTCCTCCCTCTTCGTCCTCGCTTCTTCCTTTTCTACGTTTGCTTCCTTCCCTTCCTTGTTCCTCTTCCCACACACCCTCCTTCCCTCGGCCACCTGAGGGCCCAGGCACCCTCTCTCCAGCCTTCTGTGGTGTGGGAGCTCCCTCAGGCCCTGTTGCCCTCCCTTTTCACCAGCACTGCAGCTTCACCCTTGCCCACTGCACACCAGGCACTCGATGCCAGCCCGTAAGACCTGCCCTGTCCCTGCCCTCACAGGGCTCACTGTCTAGCAAAGCACAGCGGCTCTCCGTCGCTGGCAGCACCCACTCTATGCCATGCTTGTGACGTTGTCTCATTCAGACCTCATAGCTACCCCGTGTGTGGACACCGATGAGGCTGCTGGAACTCTGTTAGTGCTTGCCTGACCTCACGCAGCTAAGAAGGAGCTAGGCCGGGCCTCACGTCTGGGATCTGGGGGTTCATGCTTTGACCCTCTGTGCTTCTGCCTCCTCCCCTTCCCCCAAACTCTTCCCACAGCAGGGACCTGTAAGCATCCAGCTGTTACAAAGCATTTGGGCATCAGCGATCCTGTGTGCCAAGAGGAGAGGGCATGCTGAGGGCACGGGGAGGTTATGGCTTAGAGGAGAGGACTTGTTCCCAAGGGACCCTAGGCCCTCGCCACAGTAACGCCAGTGTTGCCAGCACCCCCGTAGGTGGCCCCAGGACCTCCTGTCCCAGCCCCAGGAACAATCAGCATTCTGGAGCCTTGTGTAGAATTTTGACAATGCTACAATGAGCCTCTTTCTGCTTCGACGACGACTCCTCTTCCCACCCTCCGCCCGGCCCTCGGGCTCCCATTGGCTTCCTTTTGGGGGCCAGGCAGTAGTAAGCACAGTCCAGAAGGTCACTTGGACGGGAAACTCGGATTGGGGAGGGGGGCTCTGCCCTCCCTTCCTCATGCCAGGGCTCTCCTCTACCCTTAGATATCATCTTCCATCCATGGAAAAAGGAGGAGAACGGAAACCAGAGCCGAGTGATTCTTTACACCATCACCCTTACCAACCCTCTGGCTCCCAAAACTGCCACTGTCAGGGAGACACAGGTGAGCAGAGCCGGCAGATGCACAGAAGAGCAGGCTGGAAATTCCCGTGTTCTGTCTTGAAGGAATTCAGGGCAGATGTCAGGAAGGAGTTTCAGGGCGCAAGTGTCATTTTGCCCCAAAGCAGTGGTGGCATCTTGCTTGTTTAGATGCTGCTGATTCCATTGATTCCAGTTCTCCTGTTCAGAAGTCGTGGGGTGGGGTGGGCTGGGGGAGGCGGGAGAAGGTGCTTTTCCAAGCTTCTTGCTCCTCTTCAGTCTTGTCCAACGGACCTTTCCTGCCCACAGACCATGTACAAGGCGAGCCAGGAGAGTGAGTGTTACGTGATAGATGCTGAAGTCCTCACCCACGACGTGCCCTACCATGACTACTTCTACACAATCAACCGCTACACGCTCACCCGCGTGGCCCGTAACAAGAGCCGACTCAGGTGCGCTGTGTGCAGGGCGCCGGGCAGTCAGACGCGGGTCCTTACCTTAGAGAACGTTCATTTGCTCCTGACGGGGAAGGCGGAGGTGGGGTGTGCTTGGCTGCTCACTCTCTTTATTCTGCTTTCTCTCCGAAGCCTTCGGAGGCTCACCCACCACCCTGTTTTGAAAGAGTTAATTATTCTGTCCACTCTGTACATCTTGTTAGTAAAGCTTGTATAGCTACTGCTCTTCATTGGTTGTGTATGGCTCATACAGTATAGTGTACGCGCTTTACCTACCTCTGCCGGAGTCTTTAGAACGACTCGAAGAGGTGGATTTATCTTCATTTTTCAGATAAAACTGAGTTTCGTATAAGTTAAGGAACTTTGCCAAGAGCCATGTCTTTAGTAAGCACTGAAACCCGGATCTTAGAGTTGTAAACCTGTGCTCTGTCCACCATGCTGCGTGGATTGCCATTAGTGTTAGACAGTGACCTCCACGAGGACAGGAATTCCATTCCATCACACTTCCTTCCCAGCACCCAGCTGGGCCTGCACTTATCAGAGTCCAGAGAACACTGATTGAGTGAATAATTAGTTCTGGGCACCGTGATGTGCCTCCAAAGGAAGGAAGAAATTTCGACCCTGACATTTTAAGAAACTTGTAGTGTAATTGAAAAGGCAAGACACACACCCATTTGAAAATCATCAGACCGTTTACCTGTACCTTAGACCAAGTTTTTTTGGTTGTAAGGAGCCAAAAATTCACTGATGTAGTTCAAATAAAAGTTTAGTAAAAGGTTGCACGGGGATCTTTTGGGCTTCAGCAAGTGCGCATCAAGAAGGACCTTTGTGCTTCATGTCTATATTCTCACACTTTGGGAGGCTTAGGCAGGAGGGTTGCTTGAGCCCAGGAGTTCAAGACCAGCCTGGGCAACATAGTGAGACCCTGTGTCTGCAAAAAATTGAAAGTTATCCAGGAGTGGTGGCATGTACTGTAGTCCCAGCTACTCGGGAGGCTGAGGTAGGAGGATCGTCTAAGCCCAGGAGTTTGAGGCTGCAATGAGCTATGATTGCACAGCTGCACTCCAGCCTGGGAGACAGAGTAAGACCCTATCTCTTAAAAAAGAGGGCCTGCATCTTTTTCATTCTCTGTTACTTTTTGGGGATTGGGTGTTCTGTGCTTCCTCCTGAACATGTACTCCTCCTTCAGCCTTCCTTCTCTTCCTCCTGCGTTCTTTTGTTTTCCTTCCTTCTCTCTCCCTCCTATTCTTATCCTTTCCTCCACAGTGCCTAGGTTTCTTAATTCCGGGTTCCTCAGAAGATCTTTCAATTGCGTCTTTTCTCTGCAGCCTTGCAGAGGTAGCTGGTTGACCTTGAACAGACCATTATAGGAAGGTGCCCATCCACAATGCAGTCAACGGTTGTTGAGTTGGGGAGTGAGGTGTCTCCAAGTACAGGCATTGTCCCGTTGGGACATGGGTGGAGGTGGCATCCCTGAGGAGGGGGATGAGGGTGGGCTGGCAGTCTTAGTCACAGGGTGGGATGGGGTGGGATGGATTAACTGGGAGAATATTGACAGATGCAGATGAACCTAAGGGGGAGTCAAAGAGCAGGGCTGCTGCATAGGAGAGAAAAGAGCTGATACTGCAGGGGGTATGGGCAGAAGTGCGACCAGCAACTGGGAGCGGGAGTACTTGGAAAAGAGCAAGAGCCGGCGAAGTCTGGGGTGCAGTGGAGAGGCAGGAGGCACAGCCAGCAGTAGGTGATACTCTTTTTTTCTTTTTTTTTTTCGGAGACAGGATCTCACTCTCTTCCCTAGGCTGGAGTGCAGTGGTGTGATCATGGCTCACTGCAGCCTCAGCCTCAACTTCCCATTAGCTGGGACTACAGACAAGCCCCTGGCTAATTATTTTTATTTTTATTTTTGTAGAGATGGGGTCTCACTATGTTGCCCAGGGTGACTGATGCTTTTAAAGGTTAAAGTCATAAAACCCCAGAACTTGACTTAGACTTAAAAGTCTCTAGAGAAGGAGAGAAGGACCCTGATGAAAGGATGGGCCATCTTACTTTCTTTCAGTATCAGTTTCTCAAACGACTTGAACCTCAGGCAGAGCCTCCCCTTGCCTGGCAGGCAGGCTGCTGGGCCCTATGTGAGACCCCTGAGAGGAGGCAGTGTGCCATCATAAGAGAACTCTGGAGTCAGAACCCTAGTTGTTAGCCTTTGCTCTGCTTAAGTATCCTATGCCTCAGTTTTCTCATCTATAAAATGGGGATAAATCCACCAGCTCCACTGAGCTCAGAGGGTGGTCCTGGAGATCAGATGATGTGATGGATGTGGAAAGACCTTTTAACTTACAAAGTTTAGTACAAATGTGAAGCGGCTTTGGCCTTAATCCCGAATTTCCCTTTTCCCCGCAGAGGCAGGTCCACCCAGGGAATGACTGATCTTGTCTGGCTTGCTCCTCAGGGTCTCCACAGAGCTGCGCTATCGAAAACAGCCCTGGGGGTTAGTGAAAACCTTCATCGAGAAGAACTTCTGGAGTGGGCTGGAGGACTACTTCCGCCATTTAGGTGAGCGCTGCAATCCTTGCTGCTAGCTGGGCTGCAGAGACGATAAACTGCACTCCTGCTGCCCACCATTCAGGGGAATGGTGTTGAGAATAGAGGCAGAGACTGAGAGGTGAAGTAGTTTCCTGAGGTACCCACGCCTGCTCCCGATGTGGACACCAAATTTGGCATGTGTGTGGACACGTGCATTTTTCAAGACTGTGTCTAGGATGTTTAGGAGATCTTTGAGGGATCTATAACACCCTTCACCCCAAAAGGAACCACAGACCTAGTGACTCTGTGACAAGAAGTATTTGTAAAATGCCTGTGAATGCATCTATTTAAGAAGTGTATGCCCCAAATTGTATACATGAGGGTGCAGATGTTGGGAGCATTTGGTTCCTTGCAGTGCTGAACAACCCCAGAGGAAGGGTTTGACTGGGGCTGGGTCCCAGAAGTACCTCCTGAGGCTCAGGGGCATCTCTGAGGGTCATCAACCCACCACCCAACTTCCCAGAATACAGAGTAGGAAAATGGTTCTGCAGAGAGTTGCGTCTGGAGGGCTGAAGGCAGCATCTCCTGTGGCCTTTTCTTCTCTGATAGAGAGCGAGCTGGCCAAAACGGAGAGCACCTATTTGGCTGAGATGCACAGACAATCTCCCAAAGAGAAGGCCAGCAAGACTACGACGGTGCGGAGGAGGAAGCGTCCCCATGCCCATCTGCGAGTCCCTCACCTGGAAGAGGTGATGAGCCCGGTCACCACGCCCACAGATGAGGATGTGGGCCACAGGATCAAACATGTGGCAGGTGTGTGCCAGGTGGGGACAGGTGGGGTGAACTGAGCTTTGGGCTAGAGCTGCATGCCCGCACCAAGGCACACACGTGCACACTCATTTTGCGCCTTGGATATAATTTGTATATAATTTGAACATAAGTCACTAAATCTGAGGCTCCCAATGCTCTGTTTCTCTTTGCTCTTTAAGTTCCTCAGCCCCAACTGAACCCATATGTGTGCTCTAATTAACAAAAGCTGCCTTAGTGTTTATTCTTTCGTGTTGCCCTAGTTCCATGGCTACCTGCATAGGCTCAAGTATGAAGCTTCCAAGTTCTTGGGAAATACACTAAGGAGATCCCACAGCTCAGACCACAGAGATTACCTCATTACACAAAGACCAGGGAGTTCAAGACAGTCCCCCTTCACTTCACCCCCACAGGCCAATCCAGGCTTGCCCTCTCAGACCATAGACTCCCTTAATATTTCTTTCTCTTCCCACCCAGCCATTCACATCCTTGTCTTTGCTGAATCCTGGAAACCTGGGACTCTAAGGGGCCTTAGAGACCAACTAATTGAGCTGGATAGGGACAGGGGAGGCAGAAGAAGAGGGGAGAGTGCCAATCTTCTGCATGCCCCCTAGCTTCGCCCCTAGCACTTCCATGTTACATGTTTTGCCTTTAAGATTTTGACTGACATTGCATTTGAGTAAACTGACTCTCAGAGAGCTTACATGACTTGTCCACCATCATGTAGCTTCCTAGGAATAGATCCAGAGCCAAAAGCCAGCTGTCTTTAGTCCTAGCCCAGTGCCATGTCCCCTCCCGTAGCTGAAGATCACTTTGTCCTGGGCCTATAGATCCTGGCTACATGGGCCTGTTGATTTTCCCATTTGTTCAATGATTACCTGACCCAACCTGTGACCTTGCCCTTGAGGATTTTGCCTTCTCCTCTTGGAGAGCTGGCATTGTCTAGCATATCGTTGCTGTCGCAGTGTCGTGGACATTTTTCCATCAGTCTTTGATGTTTGCTGTTTGACCAGTGTCCCCGCCAGCAGTTGTTGGACTTGTGGGTCACCATGGTGATGGTCTCTTTAATTCTCCCCACAGGTTCCACGCAGACGCGGCATATCCCCGAGGACACCCCCAATGGTTTCCACCTGCAGAGCGTGTCCAAGCTGCTGCTGGTTATCAGCTGTGTGTAAGGGACTCTAGGTTCTCCTATCCTGCCCTCACCGCCTTCCCTTTCCAGCCTGGTGCCCCAGGCCTCGTCTCTTGAAGCATCTGAGCACCCTTACTGTTTTCCCTGGTTTTTTCTTTGTCCTCTAGTCTCTGTCTGGATTGGTTGCTCTGCCTGTTGCTTACCTCTTTGCTTCTTTTTCTGTGCTTTGTTCAGCATTTACTGTATGCTAGGCCTTCAGAAGAAAATGCTTCATGCAGCATCCATACCCTTCAGGGATTCAGTTTCAAGTGGGTGAGAGAGACAGAAGGTTTGAAATTCCTGCACAGATGGTTAAATGCGAACAGAGAAATGCTAGAGGGCATTTTAGGAGTCCATTCGTTCATTAGATGTTCTGAGTGTCTGCTCTGTGCCAGGCACTGGAACTGTGCACTCACAGAGCCCACATGTTGGCAGGGTAGCCAGACAAAATCAATGCCTACAATACAGGAAAAGTGGATGCTTATTTTAATGTAGACTATTTATAATAATTGCTATGATATTATAAAACAGTAGGCTCAGTAACTTGCATAGAAAGATGCCGTGCTGGCCGGGCGCAGTGGCTCACACCTGTAATCCCAGCACTTTGGGAGGCCAAGGCGGGTGGATCATGAGGTCAGGAGGTCGAGACCATCCTGGGTAACACAGTTAAACCGCATCTCTACTAAAAATACAAAAAAATTAGCCAGACGTGGTGGCGAGTGCCTGTGGTCTCAGCTGCTTGGGAGGCTGAGGCAGGAGAATGGCATGAACCCAGAAAGTGGAGCTTGCAGTGAGCCGAGATCACACCACTGCACTCCAGTCCGGGCAACAGAGCAAGACTCTGTCTCAAAAAAATAAAAAAATAAAAATAAATAAAGAAGAAAGATGCTGTGCTAGGGAAAAGTAAAGTCAAAAGAAAGAAGACATATGATGGGAGAACAGTTAGCTATCTGAGGAATGAGTCCATGCCATCAGCTGCCCAGGGCTTTATTCAACCATTTTGGGCAGGAAGCACTAGGACATCTAAGGACAGCTCTTCCACTTGGCTCAGCCCACTGCACAGTCCCACGCCTTCCTTGGATGGGTGTATGCTTCAAGAGTGTGGGGCATGGGTGGGTGGGAGCATTGCAGCTGGCCAGATGTGGGCTCTACATGCTGCTCACTGTGCACCAGATTGTCTCTAGTTCAGTCTTGCTTCTGTGACCCTGGCCTCACTGAAGCATTCTTTGAGAGGCAGAGGCAGAGCACAGCCTCACCCTCAGGAAACTCTGATGGAAGCCCAAGAGTGACATGCTCAGATTTGTACCAAAGAGAAAAATCACTCTGACAGCAATATGTCAGATGGATTCGAGTAGTAAAGACTGGAGGTAGGGAGGTCAGTCAGAGTGAGCTGTGAGATCTAGGTGAGAGCAGCTGTCAGGTTGGGTGAAGGCCTGGAGCTGGGAGGCGGACTCATTACCCATCTGGTGGTGTAGGGAAGGAAGATGAACTACTGATTCGAGGGACCATACATGGTCGTGTCATTCACAGACATCTGGAATTTAGCAAAGCATTTCCAAAGAAAACATTAACAGTTCCAGGTGTGTCTGAGGTGCCATAGGTTATCCAGGAAGAGGTGACAGATTTGTGCTGATGTGGTCCTGGAGCTCAGATGACAAGTATAAGCTGCAGTCCCTGCTTAATTATCCAGAGCATTAAAGCCATGGTGTGAATGAAAGCATCATAGAGAGTAGAGAGTGTGACAAAGAAGACAAGGTCTAGGATGGCCCTGGGGATCACTTACAGGAGGGGAAGCCATGAGGAACGTAAGGTGGACTCTTTCAGTGACTTTAATATGTCACATAAAAGTAGATGCAAAATTCTTCTGATGACAGCATAAGAAATGAAGATATTATTACAAAATTAAAAACAAAAGTAACTGTAGGCCGGGCATGGTGGCTTACGCCTGTAATCCCAGCACTTTGGGAGGCTGAGGCGGGCGGATCGTGAGGTCAGGAGATCGAGACCATCCTGGCTAACATGGTGAAACCCCATCTCTACTAAAAATACAAAAAATTAGCCGGGTGTGGTGGCGGGTGCCTGTGGTCCCAGCTACTCGGGAGGCTGAGGCAGGAGAATCACTTGAACCCGGGAAGCAGAGCTTGCAGTGAGCCGAGATCACGCCACTGCACTCCAGCCTGGGCAGAAGAGCGAGATCCCGTCTCAATAAATAAATAAATAAATAAATAAATAAATAAATGTAACTGTAAAACTAGTAAAAGTCACACTTAGCAACATCAATTTAATGTGATTCATGCAATTGTTCTGTTAAAGTAAATCTCTTGTATTGGATTTTGGTTTGTAGAGCACTGTAACCTCAGGTTAGTTCTGTGTTTAAGCTCTTTCTGCATTTTGACTTTAAGTGGAGAAGGCCTGCACTCCTGAGCAAATTGTATAGCATGTTATCAACTCACCTTTTGGTTTTGTAAGTTTAGAATGATCAGACTCTAATTCAGTGCTACAGGATCCAGGCCGAGTGTCTGCCGACAGCCTGCATGTGGGACGGGCTGACACAGCACAGCTTGCCCTGTGTCTGGCAGACTCTTGCCCCCACGTGCCTGCTACAGTGTGACTCAGCCACCTCCTTTCCCTGTGTCGACCACTGTGCAGCCTTCACTCAGACAGCACACAGGGGTATCCCTTGACCTTCACTTAGCACAGACAGGATTGCAAACATAAACCCAAATGCAGGCACCAAGATCGTGAGCAGGCTGTGCCAAAGAGGCGGGTGTTCAGATGACCCAGTGTGTGCTGATAAAATTAAAGACCGTGGCATTGAAATTCAACACGAAAGTTTTAAAGGCCTTGCGGACAAGTCAGAGAGGCCTGAGAAGACAGCAGCGCCAGAAATTTGTGGCTGCCAGTTTAAAGAAGTCTACCTTCCACAGTACCAGAAGCACGGCTGAGAAACACAGTACCTCTCGCACAGGCATACGCTTTGAAAACCCTAAGGCATCACATAGGCTTTTCTTTCTTTGCTGTCTTTCATCCATCTCTCTTTTATCTCTTTTTCTTTCTTTTCCTTTTTTTTTTTTTTTTTTTGAGACAGGTTCTCACTCTGTTGCCCGGGTTGGAATGCAGTAGCATGATTTCGGCTCACTCTAACCTCCACCTCCCAGGCTCAAGCAATCCTCCTGCCTCAGCTTCCCTAGTAGCTGGGACCACAGGTGCATGCCACCACACCCGACTAATTTTTTAAAATTTTTTTTGTAGAGATGGGGTTTTGCTGTGTTGCCCAGGCTGGTTTCAAACTTCCCAGCTCAAGCAATCCACCCACCTTGGCCTCCCAAAGTGCTGGGATTACAGGCTTGAGCCACCATGCCCGGCCTATCTTCTCGTTTTTTGTCATCTTCTCTCTTCTTATGTGTGTCCACATCTCCCCCATTAGTGATAAGAACTACCCTTTGTGTAGGGCCTATAGTGTGCCACGATATTTTTCAATATATTCCCTTTCATCTACAGAACAATCCCAGTAGGATAGGTGTTACTGTCCCTAGGTCGGAGAAGCTAGGAAACTTGATCAAAAGTTAAGAGAGTTTTAAGCGGTGAGCCAGGGTTTGCATCCAGTTTTGTGTGTCTCTGGATCCTCTCTACCCACGATGATGTCTTCTCTCTCCATCCTGCGAGCTTGTAATACAGTGATGTTTAGGCAGCCAGTGAGGCTGACAGGAGGAGGGAATTCCTGCAGTCTCTCTGTGACTCCTCATTCCCCACAGCCCCTCCAGCCCCTGGATGACCCTTGCCTCCCCTGTCTCTCACCAGTTCTGACCCAGACTCTGGGAAACCTCAGCCTGTCTCCATGATCCCTGCCCGCTGGTATCAGGTTGAGGCAGGGAAGTTTGCAGCTTGCGGGAAGTTCTGCCAATGTCTGTAAGAGGTATCCTTGGCAGAGCTAGGGACCCAGTGGAATTCCTCCTTCCGTCTCCCCCTTCAATTACGTCCTAAGGTTGGGTTGGTAAGGGGAATCTTTTCTCAATTTAGCACCCGTGAAATACTAAGAGTCTGTCTGTTGCTTTCTCGTGCCCTGTCTTTGCTGGGTCTTCTCATCCATTGTGTCTTTGCTTCTAGTATTTTTTTTTCTCATATACTCTCACTCGCTCCCAGCTTGATTTTCAGTGCAGTTTTCCCCTTCCCCACACTTGCCTGTTTCTAACCTCTGCCTCCTCCCCATTTTTCTTCCTTGCTCCCATTAGGATCTGTTTCAGGTACTGGCTCTATGATTACTCCTTTACCCCCTCATCTCTCTTCCTTCCCACCATACCTCTCTTCCCCCAGGTGCCCAGGTTCTGGGTGCCTGTGCATCTCTCCTTTCTAGTGCCTTCATCCCACGCCCCTCTCCATGGCTCTCCCCTGTATCCTGGCCCGTCCAGATTAGGTTGCTTCTTTCTCTCTCCCCTGTGCTGCATCCCTTCAGCTCACTCACTCACTTACTGCAATGCTTTGGATGGCCCACTGGTCAGGGACAGCAGCCTCTGGGATGGGGGATGCCCTAGGCTCAGATGACATCTCACTGCTGTTGGTTTTTTTCCCCATGTCTCCTTCCTAGTCTGGTGCTGCTGGTCATCCTTAACATGATGCTCTTCTACAAACTCTGGATGTTGGAATACACCACGCAGACCCTCACTGCTTGGCAGGGTCTAAGGCTCCAAGAAAGGTAATCCTGGCCTCGTCCCCTCACCTCCACCTTCATCCCACCCAGTGCCATGACACCTGTCTCCCAGTCCCCTTGGGACTGCCTCACTGCCCTTGCCCAAGGGATAGCCCTCTGGGAAGACCCCACAGGGAAACTCAGAATCTCTCCCTGTAGTTTCAGCCCACTTCTGATCTGGGGCACAGGGGAACCAGGGGCAGTGGGCAGAGGACAAAGCACTCTGATGTGACTCTCTGTCCTTTAGGGGTCTGGGAGCACAGGACAGTTCGCTGAGCATAACTCCAGCTGCTGGGGTACCCCTTCTTCTACCCCACAGGTTACCCCAGTCTCAGACAGAATGGGCCCAGCTCTTAGAGTCTCAACAAAAGTACCACGATACTGAGCTCCAAAAATGGAGGGAGATCATCAAATCCTCAGTGATGCTTCTTGACCAGGTGAGATGCCCACCTTCTCTGCTTGCCCCAGTCTTTGGGAGCGGGGACTCCTTCCCTTATGCTGTGAGAAAGATCCTCATCTCTATCACCACCCTCCAGACTTCCCTCCAATTCATTCTTCCTCCAAGCCATGCATTGTTCTAAATGGAAAGCCTTCCTTGAGTGGGCTGCTAGAAATGCAGGTGTATTCTACAAAATAATAACAATAAAATGACCCACTGAATGTGCACCAGGAAAGCTGTAGGTTAGTTGGAAGGAGAACTCTTTTTATTTCTATTTTTGGTAACCATAACCATCTGACAGGCATTTAAACAGAGAACCCCCTCAACCCTTTTACAGAGATTTGTCTTCCCAGAGGGCATGTCTTTGAGTTTTTTCAAATGTTCACCGCCCCCTCCTTTGACAGTCAGTGGCACTGCACTGATAGTCTGGGAAGATGGCTGTACTTTGTCTTCTTGTCGTAGCATCATCTTTGTCGTACAGTTTGCCTGTATTCCCCCCCGCAAAACGAGATCAACTATTTAGGCAAATCATCCTGAGGCAAAATAAAAAATTAGCCTAGTTTCCTTGGGGGAGGGAGCTTCCTGCTTCCCCAGAATAGTTCAGTATCTTGTAATATATGCCTCCCTTGGTTGCCTAGAGAGCAGGAACCTGCCTCTGCTGTGCAAGAGAATTAGAAAGTGATAGACTCACAGTTTCCCCTGCTACATGGCAACTTCTCTCCCTGAAGAGTTGACTTTCTGACGTTTTGTGACCAGCCAGAGATGGCATCCCAGCCTTGCCACTAACTAATTTTGTGACCATGAGCAAGGGACCTTGAGCTTCCATTTCTTCATTTATAAAATAGGAATTGTAATCGTAGCTTCATGGAACTGTCATCAGGATTTGATGGCATATGGGTGGTGCTCATTAAAATTAAACTTTATTTCCTTGCATTGTTTGGTCTTAGCTCTAAATAAGGAGAAAGAGGCCGGGCGTGGTGGCTCATGCCTATAATCCCAGCACTTTGGGAGGCCGAAGAGGGCAGATCACTGGAGGTCAGGAGTTTGAGACCAGCCTGGCCAACATGGCAAAACCTTGTCTCTACTCAAAATATAAAAATTAGCCGGGCATGGTGGCACACGCCTGTAATCCCAGCTGCTTGGGAGGCTAAGGCAGGAGAATTGCTTGAACCTGGGAGGCGGAGGTTTCAATGAGCTGAGATAGCGCCACTGCACTACAGCCTGGGCGACAGAGTGAGACTTCATCTCAAAAAAAAAAAAAAGGGAAAAGAATCTTAATGCAGCTATCAGGACCCAGTTGGATGTGTTTAGCTTTGTCACTATACTTAAGGAGGGCATTTTTTTTTTTTTTTAACCAAAAGAAGACAAAAAGCATAGTGAGGAGTTTAGAAGCCCTACCATTTCAAGAATGGTTGCTGGCACTGAGGACAAAGCCAGGAGAAGGGAACACGGGGCTGAGGAGAACAGGGTGGTCTTCAGACATCCAGGCCAACAGGTGTCAAGGGTTAGACTTACTGAAAAACTCCAGAGCACTGAACTCGGGCTAGAAGTTTAAGAAAGTAATTTTTCTTCATCATCAACTGCAGACAACTTGTGGCTAATGCTGTCCAGCAATGGAACAGGCTGCTGTAGAGAACTGAGATTCCAACATTGAAAGTGTTCAAGGGGTAACTAGATGATGATGGATAAAGAACTTATCGATTAAATTGGGACATTTGGACTAGATGACCCAGGGGTCTCTTCCAACTCTAGAATTCTATTTCAGAATGGGGCCCATTAACTTGGGGGTTGGGGCTGTCAGACTTATAGCCTAGTGGACTCTACACGATAAGTATTAAGAGAGTTGTTTTGTTTCAATCTCTTTAAAAGTAACTTTTAAAATAACAGAATGGCCTCCTCCTCTGTCTTGAGCAGAAGATATAAATGAACTAGAGAGAAGAAAGTGGTAGACTAAGCAGGGAGACCAGACTTTCCCCAAGTCTGTCACCATTTACCCCAGAAATGTTGTCTTATGTTGTAACAGAGCAGTTTACCCAGAGACAGTATGTAAATATGTGAGTATTTAAATATGTGGTGTGATGGGCCATTTTAGAATTCTCCTGCCGGGCTCCATTGTAGTCTCCCATTTAGACTGCAGTCTGTGACCTAAAAATGTTAATTTGCTGATATGGGTACCTAATAGGAACCTACCCATTTCTCTGCGTGGTGCCCCTGGGTGCACAAGAGAAGGATTAGACACAGTTCTAGTCCTAGCAAACATGAAACCAAGCAACGAAAGATGACTGAAGTCCAGAGCCTGAGTGTGCTGCGTGAGAGACCATGAAGGAGAGGGATGACTGAGAGCTGGAGGAAGTTTGGATTTATTCTGAGCCTTAGCAGATGGGTGAGATTGGCATAGGCAAGAGCACAAAGATTCCCAGGTGGGGGGAACAGTGTGGCTAAATGTACAAAGACAGGCATGTGGTATATTAGGGATCATCAGGGAAACCAGATGAAACGAGTAGATCAAGTCAGTGACAGCCTGAGAGGCTCTTTGTAGCAGTTGAACACTTCAAGAGAGTTCTCGATTCAGCACTGAGAACCCAGTAAGCCCTACCCAAGGGCTTCCCATGCTAGATTGTCTGTGTCCTTTCTTTCTTCCTCTCTTTTTTTCTTTTATTTCTCTCTCCCTCTCCTTTTCCCTCTCTGTCTCTCTCTTTTTTTAAGAGGCAGGGTCTTGCTCTGCTGCCCAGGCTGGAGTGCAGTGGTGCAGTCATAGTTCTCTGCAGTTGCGAACTCCCGGGTTCAAGCCATCCTCCCATCCCAGCCTCCTGAGTAGTTAGGACTACAGGTGCATATCACAGGGGCTGGCTAATTTTTAAATTTTTTATAGAGATGGGGTTTCTCTGTGTGACCCAGGCTGGTCTGAAACTCCTGGCCTCAAGCGATCCTCCCACCTCTGCCTCCCAAAGTGCTGGGATTACAGGTGTGAGTCACCGCGCCCAGCCTGACTGTCCGCTTTCTAAATGAAACAGCGTGCCCAGAGAACCAGCCTTGCTTTAGGTGCCCGACTCTTTTCAGCCCCATGGCGTGGTTGGAGGCCTGCCCTAGGCGGGTGTGGGGAGAGGGCTGCTCGGTGGAGAATCCCACTGAAAGCGCAGACCCAGGCCTGGGGTGGGGTTTTCTGTCTTGCAGATGAAGGACTCGCTCATCAACCTTCAGAATGGCATCAGGTCCCGCGACTACACGTCGGAAAGTGAAGAAAAGAGGAATCGCTATCATTGACAAGGCAGGAACAGGGTGGCTGCAAGAGGCCTGTGCAATACATGTACATAGACCATATAAATATATATATAAATATATATATATACAGAATATAAATATATATATTATATACAGATTTTAAAAAAGAGATAATGCCTATGTACCAGGGAGAAGGAGCGGGCCCTCCCGCTCCCTGTGCTGGCCGGAGCAGCGTTTTCCTGGGGTGGAGCAGCTGAGGAGGGCAGGAACCGCCTCTCAGCACTGACCACCCCTGATCTCCCTCCTCCCACCCTCTGTTCCCCACCCCTTCCCTTGCTGGCCATTCTTGGCTCTTAGAAGGGAAATGTTGAGCCAAAGTTATGCCTGTGAAGACCCTAGGGTCTCAAAAAGAAGTCTCAAGACGGCATTGCTTAAGGTGCTTCGTTCCCTGATCCCCTTTTGATTTGTTTCCAAAATAAAAGAGGATCTTTTCTTCCCTGCCCCAGGCTTCCCCAGCCATTCTCTCGGGAACACAGAAACATCAAGGGAGCCCAGTCTAAACTCTTAGGCTTGGCCGCCCACTTGATCCGGACCGTACTGAGCCTCAGATGGAGAGGATGCTTGGAAAGCTAGGAAGGCTGCATTGGGGGGTGGCAGGCTCCCAAGACCCGTGTTCTGAAGGATACTCTCCTCCATCACCCCTGCACCGTCCTCCGACCTATGTAGGGTGTGGACGCAGTAAGGGCTGGGAATTTCTTACTTTCCCACCCACTTTCTCTCTGGTCTTCTCCCAGGCTGGATCTGGGCGAAGTGTCACTTTTTAGTGCCTAAAGTCCTATTGTTTTCTGTGCCCTAAGAGCACATTGTTTATTAGCCAGGGTGGAGCATTTTTGACCTTATTAAACCTCTTTTAGTGCTTCTAAGCAAGTCAGGTCTGTGGCTCTGAGGCCTTCACTTGGAGCTGTCAGTGTGATTTCCAGGATAAGTCAGGGTGTGCTGGGCCCTCCAGGATTTGAGAGAGGAAGAGAAGGCCCTCGCTACGTCCGGGGTGCAGGGTTTACCCACAGAACACTGTGAGTGGTGAGCACCAAGATGGGTTGCCAGCGTCATTTGCTCTTGGAATGAACCAGCATTCGCCAATGGAGACAACTGTCTGAGATAGCTTGCACATGGAAAAAGCATCTAAGCCATTGGAGGGAAGGAACTGGCAAAGGTGCATGTGTTTGGGCAGGAAAAGGCCAAGTGAAATCTATGCCCCAAGGGAGTCATTCCAAATCCTGTGTTTCTCAGACTTGGAAATGGGGGCTCTGGCAGGGGGTGGAGTACAAATCCTGCTCTGGTCTCTGGCCCCACAGAGGTGTAAGATCATTAAGGAGTAGAAGGCACTGGCTTCAAAGAGTGAGACATTCAGGGCCTTTTCAGTGTTGGCCCACTAGCACCATGCATTTATCTGAATTCACGGGGCCCTTTGGGCACATTCATCATCCCTCATATACTAACTACTATTTCTTCATATAATGATCAAAAGAGTCCCACCAGCTCCAGGCAGAGCTTGTGGAGATTCATGAAAGAGTCACAGCCAATTGGGCGTGCAGAGCTCTTCAGTCTTGCTTGTTCTCCTGGGCTTCTTGATGCAGGGGCAGAAGGAACCCCAGATGTCCCAGATGTCCCAGAACATCAGCCCAAAAGACAGAAGATTTCATCACTCATCTACCCCACAAAGTTGTATTTTTCTCTTAGAATGGCCTTTAATTCCCTGTGACAGTTTCTGACTTTTCCATGTGAAGATAAGGCCTTGGTATTTCCCTAAGGGCAGGATCAGAAAACAGGAAGGTCCATGCCCAGGTCATCCTCCAAGGGAGGAGGGTGAGGAGGCTCCAAGTCATCAGCCAGAGCAGGTATTCCTCCCCTAGAAGAGGAGATGGGAGGAAATGCAGTTTCGTGTCATCCCTGTGAAGAGTGCCTACGCGCACAGCCCAGTGTGTCCTTGTTCACTTCTTGTCTAGGACTTTGGGTAAGGGACACTGGTAGGGATCAAGGCTCATGGGCTCTGAGCCAAAGAAGGAGGCATGGTGCAGACTGCTGGAATCTCCCCCTTGGCACAGTCAAAAGCCAAAACTATTCCCCGAAAGTTTTGAATGCAAAAATTGGAGATTCCTGAATTTATTCCATACATAATTATTTACTTAAGTTATTTAATGATGAAAGGTGCCATGGTGGAACCGGTGGGATGACTTTAAAAGGGTTCTTTGTTTGGAGTCAAGTGACAGAGCAGACCTGGCCGCAGGGAGTTGTTCTGCTTCTGCTTTACCTCTCAGGACCATTTCCAGCAGGAGAAGGTGGCAGGGAGGGCAGTACTGAGTATGTCAGAAGAACCCTCCTGGTTTTTTAGTGATTTGAACCCAGTAGACAATGTGTGCACATAGGGAATGCGCTTTAAGAATTGTGGGTCTCTTGTAGGCTCTCTCTGTTCCAATAATTTTTTGACCATCATACCAGGAGAAAACCAACAACTCTATTCATTCCCAAACAAAATCTCTTCCCCCTTGGTTAATAGCTTGTGAAAGAGATCTTAACTCACCCTTGCAGATAAGTCTGGGAGTGAAACAAATAAATAGCATTGTATTCCTGGCCATTAGCCTGGCTAGTTGCTGTCTACAAGGGAGCATCAAAAAATCACTACTTATGTAACTTCTTCCAGCCAGCGCTTTTTGTGTTTGTTTTTGTTTACTAGGGACACACAGGAGTCTTTCTGTAATGACTTACATGGTACAATGTTTGAGAGTTTGCACTCAATTTTAAAGAATTTGCGGTTTCTAACGAGGTGAAGAACTACTATAGGATCTAAAGTTCCATTACAGCTTACTGTGAAAGCATTGACAAGACTGGTCTCAGACAAGCTAATCATGGGTGTGACTCTCTCCCTTCCCCATCCACCTCTTTGGGGACAAGAGGATTACATCTCAGGCCAGCAAGATCAGCTGCTTGAAGCTCTGTATAAGAGCACTGCACTGATGGTTTGGAGACCTGGGCCTGGGTCCTGATTTTTCCACTGACTAAGCTCTGTGGCCTTGGGCAAGTCATTCCGTCTCTGAGCTTCAGTATCCTCCTGTCACAGGAGGGAGTGGGGCTAGATCATCTTTAAGGTAGGTTCTAGCTTTGACATCATCTTGGGGGTTAGGCCAGAGGCTGAGAAGACTGAGTGCAATTTCTCAGTTACTCTGCCAGGAGGGAACAAGCCCAGAGGCTGAAGCTTCCCAGTATTTAGAGGCGTGGTAGGGCAGTGTCTGCATTCCCAGGAGACCCAGGGTGGTTAAAATATATTCTTTAGGTGGCTCGGAGGGCTGGGGAGGCCCAGTGAGGCGGGGGGGATGGGGGGAGAGAGAGAGAGAGAGAGAGAGATCGATCGAGCTTGATGTATTGCTCAGTATTCACCTAGAAAAGTTTCTTCCTTCTTTGGCCTAGTTTGTGGAGGGATCTTCCTTTGGACTTTCTCTGAGTTGGGAGAAGAACATTCTTTTCAATGGAGCTCATCTTCTATCTCTAGGCTCTGTGAAGCCTTTCATCTGTCTGTCCTTCCTCCTTACTGGTAGAAGAAACAGTGGAGAGAAACCACTTCTGGTCCTAGCACTTCTCTTTGGTCTAGATAGGGTTTGGATTTAGTATGAAGCTTTGGCTAAAACCCTTGGGTTTGCCTTAGAGCACTGAACTAAGAACCACATACACTGACATGGCGAGGACCAAGAGAGCTCAAGAGGAGTGCTTTGTGAGAAGTGGATTCTCTCCGTGTCCCTGCCCCCACCCAAACTTGAACATACCTATTACATTTCCAGGCAGCATCCCCAGGATGAGGTCCTGGAGAAGGGACTAGGGGAAGTATCTTTCTGGATGCTTGTGGTCCCAGAAGGGTACTTTCTGTGCCATACCATGTCGCTTCTTTAAGCTCTGCAGGGCAGCCAAAGCCAGCCCTTTTCTCCTACTGCCCCCAGGAGAAATAGCACTCTTCTCCCTCCCCCAGATGGCAGGGCTCTGGTCTCCCTACACCTCATACCCTGCCTGCCTCCTCCAGGAGGAAACTCCAGGGCCCCTTCCTGACTCTCCCCACCCTCACCACTTGTCTCTAGGCTATGGGACAATCATCCCATTCACCACTTCACATCCTTGACTTTCATTCCCCCAACCTCCAGCAGGTTGGCCCCAATCCCCTTCACCTCTGTGTTTTCTTCCAGAAGATGCATTTTGGGTCTGAGAGGAGCATTTTCCTGGAAGGCCATCTTTTAAGACCCCTGCTTGCTGTCATAGTGCAGAGCAGGAATTTGCACACTGTTTAGAGAGCTCCCTTCCCACCGCTCTGCCCAGCCTTGTTACCTCACTTCTGCTCTGGCCATAGTTGTGAAGGGCCCAGCCAGCTCCCTGTTTTGATGTTCTGTGCAACAGCTCTGGGGTCTTGTGACTGGAGATCCTCAGCAGGCCCTGGAGCCCGGACTGGAGTCTTGGCAGCTGATGAGCAGCACCTTGCCGGCCAGGAGGAGCTGATGCTGGACGATCTCCCCAACATTTGAAGGCTTAAAGAACATTGTCATTCTTCAGCCCTCCTTGCTTCTCTCAATACAATAAGACATTGCAGAAGCAAAAGGGTGGCCTCTGCTCCAGGCAAGGCAGCTGACTGTCTGGGGCATTGGCCTGGGGCTTGGGTGCCACGTGCTGAGATTGCATAGTCAAAGCAGCCATTTTTGCCAACAATAGCTTGTGGCTCCCCACATTTTCCTACCCTGCACTTAAAGGCCAGACCACTCTCTGCATGGACCAGACCATCTTCCCAAACCCATGGTGCTTTTTCCCCAACTCAACCTAGACTCCAAGGTGGGGAGGGATGGGTCAGAGGCCATAGTGGCCCCTGGATAATCCTGACATGAGGTGGAGTGGGGTGAGGCAGAGGGAGCAGCCCCAACACCTGCACTGGGCCATCTATGGGAAAGAACACGGGTCGAGTGCAGTCGAGTTGTCTGGCCGTCTGTATTTGGATCTATAACTGTACTTTGCCTGGCGCTGTGCGCAAGGTCGGAACACTTACTGCTAGTACCTAGAAACACACAAGGCTGCCCAGCCAAATCTTAATGTAAAGTAGCTAGAGCCATGGAAGTACAGTATGAATTAAAAAGAAAAAAGTATTGAACTACAATAATAAATGGTGTGCGTGTTTATTGCTTGATTTATGAGTGCTCGTCACCTCAGATGTTTCTGGTCTTCCCAAGTGGACTCACAGCAGGTCCTGAAGGCATGCGTGTAGGTACACTTGTACACACACACACACACACACACGCGGCCATCCGCCTTCTCACAGGCGGGAGGGAGGCCGCCGGATCGACTGGAATGGATAAGTTTTGGAGTCAGATCTGAGTACAAAGTGCAGCATCACTGTTTACCAGCTGTGTGGCCGTACGTCCCATCTGTCACTCCAAGCCTCAGTGTGTCAGAGATAATACATTTAAAAAACACATCGTTCTTAGTATGGCAGCTGGTATTATACTAAAATATTTTCTTTTGTTTTGAGACGGTCTCACTGTGACCCAGGCTGGAGTGTAGTGGTGCAATCATGGCCACTGCAGCCTTGATCTCCTGAGCTCAAGTGTTCCTCCCACCTTAGTGTCCTGAGTAGTTGGGGCTACAGGCACACACCACCATGCCAGGCTTTTTTTTTTTTTTAAGAGATGGGGTCTCACTGTGTTGCTCAGGCTTGTCTTAGACTCCTGGCCTCGAGTGATCCTCCCGCCTCAGCTTACCAAAGTGTTGGGATGATTAATCTTTTTTTTTTTTTTTTTTTTTTTTTTTTTTTTTTTTGAGATGGAGTTTCACTCTTGTTGCCCAGACTGGAGTGCAATGGCGTGATCTCAGCTCACTGCAACCTCCGCCTTCTGGGTTTAAGCAATTCTTCTGCCTTAGCATCCCAAGTAGCTGGGACTACAGGCACCTGCCACCACGCCTGGCTAATTTTTGTATTTTTAGTAGAGATGGGGTTTCAACATGTTGGCCAGGTTGGTCTTGAACTCCCGACCTCAGGTGATCCGCCTGCCTCAGTCTCCCAAAGTGCTGGGATTACAGGTGTGAGCCACTGCGTCTGGCCGATTTTTAATCTTATGATGAGTAGTACTGTTGTTGTAGGAGATTGTGGTGAACTGTGAATCCTGATGATGGTTTCTTGTTGAACTTTTCCCTCTTCGGGCCTTAACACTTCCAGGAAGATGAATGTTGAGAGACTGCTTTGCCTTCTTCTTTTATGTTCCCTAAACTGGTGGAGCTGAGAGCCAGATTGGCTCCTCCCTTAATTAGGTCAGCCTTGTAGGGAGCTCCTTGCTACCTGGTTAGGAAACTTGTTTGATGTCAGGCAAGAACATAAGTGACTCTTGTGTTCCTTTGTATTAGGGTAGAGGAGGAAAGGGAAGCAGAGAGGCCAGATCACACATTTAGTGTGTGTTTAATGTGAGGCTATTACATGGTTTTCATTCTCATGCATATCCACAGATTGAGTACGGGAATATGAAGCAGGCTGAGGTGCTGGGGGAAGGCATAGTCTATGGGGCAGACACAGTAAGTGGAACAAAACCAAAGAGAGTGGTTTTTAGGGATACTTTATTGACATGAACAAGGAGTTTACTGAAAAATAGCACATACAGGCATTATGTTGTTGAGGGCTTAGGTGGTCAGGAACATTTCTAGAGTTTGGAAAAAGATTGGCTGTGGAAAATCAAGAAAAAGCAATATGAAGATGATAACATGGAAAATACTTCTATCTGTTGCAAGACTAAGAGTGTGTGGATTGTGTTGGATGGCGGTTCACAAGCCTGCAAGCACTCGGCCTTCAGCGGCCTCCCTCTCCATCACACACACTGCTGAGCAGAGGCAGCTGTTGCCAAGCGGTGACACAGGGAGGAAGCACAGAGCATTGCTGGCTCTGAGGGTTAGCTGGCCTGGGCTGGAGACCCGAGTTTGATGTATAAATCAGACTTGCTTGGAAGTGCTTATCTCCTGAGTCCTGCTGCGAACTCAACTAAGGGGGAGGAAGTGGGCTGGATTAATCATGAGCTGTCCACCAGCTGAGATTTTAGAGATTAAGTAGGGTTTGGATGATGCTGTTTTTCAGACTGATGACTGCATAGCACACTGAAGGTCTAGGCTAGCGCTTGACAGAGTGGGTGCAAAAAGATGTTACTAGAATGAGTGGATGATCAGACTGGCAAGCACACCAAGCACTATTCAGATACATTTGCAGTGACTAGGTGAATTCACTGAATTAGGGATTTTTCATTTGCAAAATGAGGTGAGAGGAAGGCTTCTTTTTTTTTTTTTTGTTCTTGTTTTTTCATTTTCATGTTAAATTGGGAAAGGACAAACTAAGATATATTCTGAAGTGTGTCTAGCTCTTGCTTCTCTTTCTTCCTGCAAAGATGAAATGGCACAGCCTTTTCCCTCAGATTTATGTGAGGAGGACTCACAGATTCTGAGATGGGTGGAATTTGTTGTTTTGATCCAATAATTTTGGGGAGAGAGGAGGGAGCTGCTGTCTCTTAACCATGCCCTGCTCTTCACACTTCCCAGCATATTCCTGCTTTGAAAAGTGACTTTCCTAGTAATATTTCTAGGTGAACATCTAAGGAGAAACCTGCAACTGAGAAGGAAGTCTGAGTGTGTGGGTGTTTGGGAATGGAGAAACTAAAGGGGCATGCCATTAAACAAGTGGTGAGAATAAAGGCTGGGGTAGGGACAGGCAAGGAGTGTTTGAGGTTGGGGCTCTGATTCAAGACTGAGGTGACAGTGAAGGTCAACAGGGCAAGGTGCTCTTGGGGCCAACTGGATTGAGCAATCACATTCATGGCTGTGAAGCAGTAAGAACGGGAAAATCAGACTGAGCCAAGCTTGGCCTTTAGTGAATTGTGTTACCGAGGATCAGACATGGGAAATATCCAGCACCAAGACAACAGATGGGGTTTCCAAAGTGATAATAATAGCCCTTGAGAACTCTTCTAAGCCCTTTAATAAGCAACATCAGGCCAGATAAAGCTTCCAGAGAAACACACATCTAGTCTGGGTCTTTTATAAGATTATGGGAAGAGACAGGGAGGTGGGTGGAGATTGGAAGTAGGCTGGTGATCACAGTACCTTGTTGATTTACAGTCATGATCAAATCTCCCAGGAAGGAGTTTCGTTGCAATTCAGGAGAAATAATGATGCACAAACCAACTAGAAAGAGAACCAAAATAGGACCGACTCTCAAAGCACATTGCTAGCATCCACCAAAAAGCAAAGTAGTAGAGAAGCAGTGAGTGGGATTAGGGGTGAGAGAAGATGGAGAACATTAGGACAGGCAAGACAGGCAATGGTTAGATGGAAGCTAAAAAATAAGAAAACGAAGCAGCTATGGTCTAAGTGGAAAGAGAACTGAAAGAGGAGTCAGAAGACCTGGATTCTTGCTGTCTACCTACCAGCTAGGTTTCCTTATAATTTAGTAAAGCTACTTAACCTCAGAGAGCCTCAGTTTCTTCTTTTGTAATGTGAGTATTCATAATATTGACCTCAAAGGACCAGTTAGAGAGAAGAAATAAAATAGTTAAGTGAAAATACTTTGTAAACCATATAGTTCTAATGAAAGTGTCAAGAATGAGAAGAATGGAGAAGTTAGAAAGAGTGTGGAAGATAACCTGTCAAGGATAAATAAGTGATAGGTACCATTCAGCTTCATTAAAAGCCATGCAAGCAGCATCTGAGTTGGGTTTTTTAAAAAAGAAGAGAAAAAGGCAATCATGCATACTGCCTGTTTCAACTTAGATACAAGAGCTATTGGAACACTGAGGAAAGCGCAGTGGTAGTAAGTATCTTGCTACTACCGCAAGCTGTGGTATCCATGAGCTATGGACTGGAAAAATGTCACACTAAGGCCAATTTTCCTAACTACAAAGTTAAAAAGATCTATATTCTCTACCTAATTTCAGAGGGACTGTGTGGAAAATTACCAATAAGAAGAGTCTTGAATTTATTGCAAATATTTTCTTCAACAAAATCAGACTCTTTAATGTGTTAACGGTCTAGTTTGGGACGAGGCACGGTTGCTCATGCCTGTAATCCCAGTGCTTTGAGAGGCTGAGGCTGGCGGATTGCTTGAGCCCAGGAGTTCAAGATCAGCCTGGGCAACATGGCAAGACCCCTGTCTCTACAAAAAATACAAAAATTAGCCAGGCGTAGTGGTGCATGCCTGTAGTCCCAGTTACCTGGGGGCTGAGGTGGGAGGATTGCTTAAACCTGGGGCAGTTGAGGCTGCAGTGATCTGAGATTGCGCCACTGCACTCTAGCCTGGAAGACAGAGTGAGGCTCTGTCTCAAAAAAAAAAAAAAAAAAAAAGTCTGGTTTTAAGTACTCTCCTAGGGATGGAAGAATGAAAAAAAAAAAAATAAGCTTTTAAAGTAAAGCTCTAAACCAATGGAATATGGTCTTTCCCTATAAAGGGAGGTCCCAGATCTGAGGGACTTCTCTCTCACTGAATCCCAGTCACCTTCATCTTCTTACATTCTGTAAAGCATCTTTGCCCTCTCTTGTCCCTAGGTGCTGAAGGAGGTCACACTTGGACCTGTCACTCAATTAAAATGAAACACGAGATATCGACTAAAATTTTTTCCAGTTTCTCTGCTCCCTCAAAAGCTAGGGGAAAAAATCTGAAAATTATGCATTCATAAGTGAAGTATTTGGAAACCACCTACCCATCCCTCCCCTCTCATACCACTTATTTGCTCATGATTCATCTCAGACTAAACATTTTTCTTAGTTTAAATATCATTCTCAGATGCACTCTCTTTCTGGAGGGTATTTCACAAATCTTTACATAAAGGAAGTTCTTTAAGTCACCTCATGTTCTTCTCTCTGCTTTTTTGGCCAATTTCTAGTAATCTGAATCTATCAGAGTTGACCTCAGCCCAGTGTGTGCTTGTGAAAGAAGCATTGCCATAGACAAGTCCAATGTCAGTCTTTCCAGAAACAAAGTTATCCACTGGGCACAGTGCCTCACGCCTGTAATCCCAGTACTTTGGGAGGCTGAGGTGGGTGGGTCATTTGAGGTCAGGAGTTCGAGACTAGCCTGGCCAACATAGTGAAACCCCGTCTGTACTAAAAATGCAAAATTTAGCCAGGCATGGTGGT